TAGTAATCCAGAGTGCATCAGTGGCTCAAATACTAACAATAACCAGAAGACATTAGTTCGCCTACTAAGAATGAATAAAGAAAAAGAAAACGTTCCGTTAGTCAACCCAATGTCTAGTACACCTCTAATTATAAGTTTCTCACGCTACTAGCAATGAACGGCAGTTTCCGCCATCCTAGCCAACACAACTAGTGATCCCTCCTCGGTCAAGCCTCCTCCACGTCATCACGACGGTCGAGGGCCCTGTTCGCACCTGAAACAATTAAGGTAGAGGGGGGGTAAGTATATAAAATACTCCGTAAGTAGCCCTCCCTAACTAATCACAACAGCATGCTCGTAACACAGCGACATCAAACACAATAGCAAAACAAAGCACCAGGCAACAAGAGATGATAACGGTAGATTAACATTACCATATAAGCATCCAAACACCCAGACTTCTAGGACTTCGACTACACGACCCACTAACCTGTGACCCACTCGAGCTAAAAATTGTTCTACCCTTTACCTTAGTACTCCAAGTTTAACTCTTCAAGGTGTATCGGCCCTTGACATTTATCCCCCAAGATACCAACCTTCCTCTAAAAAGCTTGGCGTTCGACCTTGCCATTTATCCCCAAGGCCTTGAACTGCGCACCAGTCCTTGACATTTATCCCCAAGGTACCTATGACTACTCGGCGTATTGGTTCTTGACATTTATCCCCAAGACCCCAATACTTCTCTACAGAACTTGATATTCGGCCTTGTCGTTTATCCCCAAGGTATCGATGGCTACCAGCGTATTGGTCCTTGACATTTATCCCCAAGGCCCCAATACTCCTTTATAGAAAACTTGGTGTCCAACCTTGTCATTTATCCCCAAGGCCTTCTACCCCCAGAGCCTTAACATCTGATAGGGATTTAGCCGCCTTGTCCATTGCCCACGAGGCCACAACACCGGTACATCCACTTTCATTACAAGGTAAACCATGCATTCGCAACATCGTCATTCGCTAAAACTTTACCATATAACCCTCAAATCATCCTCTACAAGGCCTTGTGTATCCCAACGACTAGCATGCGTTTTCACTTCCGACAGCCCACATGATAACAACAGTTAACTCGCCCTATCACTCTAGTCAACTCCCACTAACCCTTCCAAGACAACTTGAAAGTCACCCACATTCCAAGTCACAACACAATTGTTCAGCATACTTTTAGACGTACGACACAAAACACTACCCAACAGCTTCCAACTAAACAACATAAAACTAAATAACATACAATCAGCATATGTATTTCGAAAGTCACCCACATTCCAAGTCATAACACAATTGTTCAGCATACTTTTAGACGTACAAAAGGAAACACTACCCAACAGCTTCCAACTAAACAACATAAAACTAAATAACATACAATCGGCATATGTATTTCGAAAGTCACCACATTCCAAGTCACAACACAATTGTTCAGCATACTTTTAGACGTACGAAACAAAACACAACCCAACATGTTTCCAAACGTCATAGATCAAATTCTCCCAACCATAATAATCAGAACTGACCAGTCACATTCAATGACAAGTAACCATGCATGCTCATAATGTCTAACAATATAATTAGTGACATGTAACTCAACAACAATCACTAGGCGTTCACAAAAACCAAAACTAACAATTTCTATACAGACGAAGTAAACTATTCTAACAAAATCAGCACAAAACCATTCCATTAACATTCAATAACGCACGCACTCGCCCCCTGGTGCTACTTACACACTGTTATGCTCCTAGATCTTGCGTCAATTCAACACCTAATCAACAATAGACAAATAGAATAATTAACACAAAATTTCCAGCCAAGGAAATTCAACATAAGGGATCTTGCAACGTCCGTTACTGCAAAAATCGCCTTCGCCTAGGTGCAGGTAACTCCGGCCCAACTCGAATAAATGTGGGTTGCATAAAACGAGCTTCTAATGGTTATGGGTAGACA